ATTTTTTCCCCTTTGGAAATCCCTGAATTTTTTTTTTCAATTTTTTTTTTTTTTTTTGAAATGTAATGAGTAGACATTATGACAAGAAGTCTTTAAACATAGAATAATACGAAGCATGTAACAGTGTTGGCTGCTTTTTTTTTTTTAAGTTGTCAGTGTCTTTTACATTAAGTAATATCAGATTTGTGATACTATTAAGGAAAGATTCTCTTTTGATTTATTTTTTAATTATGAAAAACACATTTGAAATCAGGGTATTTTTTTAATAAACTCATTGTCTATTCATTAAAGTAGTTGTCTTATCATCTTTAGATCATATGCTACCTGCCAAAATAACGCATTCAGTCAGCTGTCTGTTCCCAGTAACTCTTTTCCATGAGGGAGTGAACTGTTGGTTGCCAGAATTTGCCCTGCTAGGGTTTTGGCTAGCCTCTTTCCTGGCTGCTGTTCAGTTTGAGCAGGAAATCCTAATTTACAGTCATAGTACTATAAAAGGCATTTTAAAAGGTGTACTAGTCCACACTATATCAAAAGGAAGAATCAGCTGTATTTATAGCATTTCTGACTGCTTCAGAAAGTAATGTATAATATGAATGTTTTGATGTGATATAATACTTACTATTTGTAGATATAGCAGGCAGATTACATTTCTGAGGCAATGCATCTTATGTACCATATTGGAAAGGACAGACAGGGAAGAGGGGGAGAGGGAGGTGTGCTGTCTGTTAGTTAGATCTTTGGCTGTGCAGAGTTCCACAGTGAAACCAGACATTTGCAGCTCCTGTCTGGTTCGAGATCGGAGCAGGAAGGAGCCGACAGGGAGGTTGTGGTTGAGGTCTGTTATGGACCACCCGTCCATGGGGACGTAGTGGATGTGACTTACTAGGAGCTACTGGCAGAAGTCTCCTGCTGGTAGGCCTTCATTTTCATGGGAGATTTCAACCATCTAGCAGGTTCCTGGAGTATGTGGAAGATAACTTCCTGACACAGCTGGTGAGTGAGCCAACTAGGGAAGGCACCCCGCTGGACCTGTTGTTTGCGAACAGAGAAGGACTTGTGGATGATGTGACGGTTGGAGGCTGTCTTGGGCATAGCGATCACAAAATGATAGTTTTAGATTCTTGGAGAAGTAAGGAGGGGGGTCAGCAGAATTGCTACCTTGGACTTCCAGAGGGCAGACTTTGGCCTGTTTAGGAGACTAGTTGACAGAGTCCCTTGGGAGGCAGTCCTGAAGGGCAAAGGAGTCCAGGAAGGCTGGACATTCTTCAAGAAGGACATCTTCAAGGTGCAGGAGCAGGATGTCCCCATGTGCCAAAAGACAAGCCGTCAGGCAAGATGACTGGCCTGGCTGAACAGATTGCTTTGGCTGG